CATCAAAAGTTATTAACTGTGGAAATTAAATGTACCGGAAAGTAAAGGTAGATAGGACTCTAACCTGATGGCCGTTGGAAACAGTTCAGCGGAGTAAACATAAACTGCATCAAACGAGATGAATACAAAGAACTTAGCAGCAAGAGCCATGATGATCTTACCAGCAGCATAACCTGAAAACACAAAAGACCTTCAATTGACAAAGACAGGCCATTAAAGAAGTAAAGGGAGGGAAAGGGGAAAAAAACATACACGAAGAGTGAAAGAAAATTATTGAAAAACAAAGGAACAAAAATACATGGAAAGCTTAAAAAAATGTAGATTTACGCAGTTGGAGTTTGTTATCCCCTACACTTTTCCAATCGTCACTTTGTTATTTTAATGGCGCTTTCTGAAATCAAGAACACACATCTCCTTGGTAATTTTCATGCTAGCGACAGAATTGAAACTGATGGCAACTCTTCTAGGATATTCCTTCGATTCCTTTTCCTCAATCGCCTGAGTTTCTTTCACGGAAAATTAGGTTGGTGAATTCACATGCAAAAGTAGAAGAACACAGTAATAACAGTGTTAGTTTTTCATTTTGGCGGGTGTGAAATTGAGATACATTATTGATCTTTTCTTTTACTGTTAAGTGGTCATCCATCTACTTCTCACCACTCTCGGTGTCTTTTTAATCTGTTTCTCGTCCATCTCTACCTTCGAAACTTACATTTGTCATTTCCTGGATCGAACATCGTAAACAAAACAGCACCAGTCGACGCAATGGCAGCAAGGATCAGACAGTAAATCAGCGATTTTTTACGACCAAACCTGAAATGAACAAAGTAAGCAAAAAAGAAAATTCACGTGAGGAAAGAACGAGATGATTTTTTCAAACGACAACGACTTGTTTCTTAGACTATCAAAATAGAAATTGTAATCATTACGGTCCATGAACCTGAAATTTAAACGTCGGTTCCGACAAGAAAAGGGGAGCGATGAGATCGAATCTCCTCAAAACAGGATCCTGTTTAACAGCCCTTCCCTATGTAAAATCAGTAATGTCTCGTCCGGACTGAAATTTCAACGCAAAGGAAAGAGGCCAACTTTTTTGCACCAAGAGTCTAGTCCGGTGGAAATTATGAGGATGGTGCAAGTCGGATCCATGGTTTCCAGTTTTACGAGTTTCACGAAATCAAATTAAACTAAAGATGGCATGCGTTACAGACTTACTTTCCCATGGCCCAGATGCCAACATAATTTGCAGGAATCTCAATGATGGATAGCAGGAAGAAATTCAGGTACATGTTGCCGCCAAGAGTTGGAGTGCTGAACGATACACCATAATACACCATGGCATTTACAAACCTGTAAGCAAAATCAGTACGTGTTTGTTGCTGACGAGGCAATCTTTATGATTTTTACAGCATCTGTAACGAGCGGGATGCTCCACTCTTAGGAGTGTATTTTGTTCAAATTTATATTGAAAATTGTATGTATGATGAACTGAATTATACTCGTATTTTGATTAGTTCTTACTATTGGAGAACAGACGCATCGATAGCGTCACCTTTAATCATTTTTTGCTTCTTTATTATGTAACACAAACTGATTTCATGTTGCCGTGGGTCGGAACAGTAAGAGATCACAAAAAACGACAAAATGTGTTACTAAAATATGGGACTTTTTTTTTTTCTTACCACATTTTGATGTAATCTGTGATCTGTGTGGAAAAATGCACGGCAACGTGGAATCGCTTTGCGGAATAGAACAAAAAGGCAACAATAGTAACAAGAAAGGAATTCTGGTGAAAAAACCACTTTCGAATTTCTTGTAAAAAAATCTCATTATCTTTCACCAGTTGAAAATTCTATGTCATTTTCTTGACTGTCTTTTACGTAAAAAATTCCATCTGAAATAAAAATACTCCCAGAAATACTTTTCCCCTGGCAAGAAGGAGCTCAAAACCTTATCAAAAATGTTTGAAGCTGAAGACAGACTAAGCCCATATACGATACACAGAAAATTTAAAAGAAAATTGTGGAAGGTTATTCAACATAAATCCAAGCACCTGTCTTCGCGGAGAAACTAAACTTCACTAGTCTACTGACACTCACCAGGCATACCAAGAAACAAGAGTCCTGTGCAACATTTTTTTTGTTCGAAATAAATCTCTGACGTCACCTAGATCCTGTAGCTTGCCATCAGCATTCGGATCCACTAAAGGCTCGTCTGGATAGGTTTTCTTGTTTGTGGCAGCAATGCGTCGCAATATTTGCTCAGTTTCCGTAACTTTCCCCTTGAGCAGCAAGTACCTCGATGATTCGGGGGTGAACCTTAAAGAGTAAAGCAGGAAAAAATTCAATGGGAAACTCTATCAGAGAGGCTTAAAAGAAAGCAAAGTTTAAATTTTGGCACTAATTTCTGCAGGCCACCCCCCCCCCCCCCCCTTCCCCCTCCACCATCACTTGAAGTTAGTTAACATGGGGATGGTTTTTTCCATGCCCTTCTGAAGAATTAAGGTCTGCAAAGATACCCTGTTCAAGAAGAGAAAAATTGAAAATGCATACCCTGTTTAAAATTCAAGACCCTGGAAACCATATCCTGTTTAGCAGCACTTACCCGTTGGGAGGGTTTGTCCTCGGTAGATTACACAGCTCTCTCCTCAACTGAAGAGGCCCTTAAACTAATTAACAAAGGTAAGAGATTTTCATCTGAAAACCCTTACCACCAGCCTATGAAGGAAATAAGTCCAGGTACCGCACAGGTGATTGAAAGGAATCTCCAGTCACGAATGCCATAAGCGAGCCCTGCTAACATGACTAGTGCCAGGGTCCATGAATACCAAAGTGACGTACCAGCCACGTGGCGATGTCGGACGCCTGCGAACTCAGTGGCCAGCACGTAGATTCCCATGGCTCCGCCACCTGATGGAATAGACGGTGCGTCAGATCAGCAAAGCTTACACGAGGAACTTCTTCAGTATCCCTCTATTTCTTTCCACAGAGTTTTCATCCTTAAATTTTATGTTATCAATCAATAAAGGACAGAATTTGAATAGATTTAATAAATGACGGGCTAAATTTTTCCCGCTTTCCCCAGTTTGATCTTCTTTTGTGCCCTGTTAAGTGTATATTGAGCCGTTTTTTAAACCTTTTTTGGTTCTCACTTTTTCTGTGAGAAAAAGTTGATTTGGCTTCTCTCTTGCTCCGAGTAATAGAATTTAAAGACGTCATCTGACATCGAACAGACACGCAGCGAATTCTGTAGAGTCAAGTGCGGAGGAGGGGGGAGGATGTCGGAAACAGAACCTCATCAAAGTGCATGTCGGTCATTAAAGAGAGTGCTTTAACAACAGAGCTCAGAAGCGCTGAATCGGAGCAATGAAATGCTATAGTAAAGATGTGTGAACCGCTCCTAAGAACTCAAGACGAAAGGGATACTTTTAAGCTTAAAGAAAAGATAAAAGAAAAGCTTCACTCACCGAGACAGATGCCAACGAGAAGCCTGAATAAAATGAAAAGCCAGAAGACATTTGGGAAAGCAGCCAACCAGGCGAAGATGCTACAAGTCATTGATCCTATATACAGTACTGGTTTTCTGCCAATCTTGTCTGATAAAACTCCGCCAATTAACGCGCCCACAAGCCAGCCGGCAAATAGGAGTGAAGTCGAAATGGTTCCAAGCAGAGCTTTGTCACAAACCAAGTCGAACTATAAGAAATTGTTACAAACATTCTTTTACGTTTTTTCGAAGAGTCGCCATATAATCATATCCTCTAAACAAAAAAGTAAAAAGGTTGTACGAGGCTCAAATACGTGCCGCAAGACCATCAGGGAAAAACCAAAGTTTTCCTTTCACGTGCAAACTTTTGGCCTGTTCTAGGCAGTCAGCAAGAGTAAAAAAAGGGGCCTCTCACGAACCCTCTCTCTCTTGATTTTCTCTCGTCCAATCATTCGTTTATCTCCATTATCTTGTTCCTGAAATTCCTGCAAAAAACCCCGCCGATTTCCTCTCCCGGTAGTTCGTCGGCCTTCTGTGACCCGGATCCTACAACATACTATCTCAAGAACTTGTCTATTGTCTATAATGAATTCTGACCTCAGTAACTACTGACGTGTAATCATCAGCGAATTTCCAGGAATCTCTCGGCATATCACATCGTTTCATGTACAGGTCATCACCGGGTTTAAACTCCCCAGTCAGGTTACACGAGCGGTGATTGGCCACACACATCCAATTAGGTTCAGCGGCGATGAACGTTGGTACCATGACTTGAAATGTTATATTGAACCACTCTATGTAGCTTAGAATAGCAATCAGACGAATTTGATAAAATCCGAGGCTACCAATTCGCTCCAGTATCTGATCCACAGTCAAAGCCATTCTGTGAAATGATTTGAAAAGATTTTATAAGAGGAAGGAAACATAAGTAGTGCGGTGGACTTCGGATCAAAAAATTCCGGCTGACTGAGTTATATTCTCAGGCAAGATATTTCATTCTCACCAGGCCTCTCTCCTTCCAGGAATGTAATTGGTACCGGCAATCTGTCAGAAAAACTGTAAAAATGCCGCTGTATAAATCCTTATGCGTTGGACTGGAACGGCTCGGAAGAGCCGTCCCAGTCTTATCACGCATTAGCTCTAGAAGAGGTCCTACAAGAGCTACGTACATAATGTTTCTTGAGAACTGGCGAATGTATTATCTTCCCTGCAGAGCTTTTATTATCGGATGATTTGTGTCTCGACAATTAAATCAAACGTGAATAGATTGTTGAGTAAATCCTGTCAAGGTTCCGGAGGAACAACCTTTAGTAATGAACAACCGGTGAAAGCTATGCACTCCAAAAATATCAAGTTTTTGTAATTTGAAACGCTAGATAAGAGCTTCAATCACCAAAATTCTTACCATGATGACACATGCCCTGATAAGCTCATTTGACAATTAGGGGCCTGTTTACATGAAGGTCGGGGACCCCAGGTAGGTTAGGTAACCCACCTAGGTGGGGTAACCCGCCTGTCCATATAATCTCTTATTTTATCTTAATCACGTTTATATGGTAGGTGGGGTGACCCACCCGAGCGGGTTGCCCGGTCTGCTTGGTATGGTAACCCTGTCAGCCGGGGTGACAATTTGCTATGTAAACCGCTCAAGATGGAGTAACCCGCTTAGCCGGGGTCACGTTCATATTAAAGAGAGATAAAATGAGCCAAGGGGTAGCGAAACACATGTGTTTTATAACTTTTTCCTTTTCTTAGCCGTCCCATACTGAGCTGAAACATCAAAACACTAACTTAACGTCCTATTAGCAATGAAGACTCGACGGCAATTTAGTAAAGTTTTTACTGTGAACTTAAGAGTACATTCACATGTTGTAAATAACTTTTTTTGGCAACGTTTTAAAACAATTCGCCGCGGTGACATCTTAAATCCCTGATTGCAAACGCGACAATAAGCTCGAGAAACTTCACGCCGGCCCCGGATTGTAAGTAAACGCGGGCTATTTTTGGACCACGGCCAGGCGGGTTACTTCACCTACCTGGGGTTCTCCACCCCCATATAAACAGGCCCTCAAAAAAAGGACACCGGAAACACTTGCTCGTTTTTCCCCTAAATAAACAGGCCTTTTTTTCGTCTTTCTCAGGGCCCTCAGCCTTGCTAACGATACCTCGAGTTGCTTTCCAAGACTTCGCCATACCCAGGACTTCATCTTTGGAGCCTTACGGACCATTCAAATTTTCTTGGATCAGTATGTTCAAAACCATGTAATGGGATAGTCACAGAGTTAAATATATCCGTGTCGATGCTTAAATCTTAAATATTACGTTCATTTTTTCCTCACAATCGGGAGTATTTTGAAAGTTTTGCTTTAGCTTTGATTTAACCCTTGTTCAACTGATACTAAATCCAATAATTATATAATTACGCTTCCGACTCCATTTTGAAACTACTCATGAGACCGGGTGACACTGGCGTAGTGGTGGTAATTTCCTTTCGTTTTAAGCCATTTAAATCAGAAGTAAAGAAAAAGATTTGCTTAGAATAAATTTTCAATCTTCTAAGAGCTTACCAACTTATTCTCCTGGAGGAGTCTGTAGAGCAATGTACTCGAGAGGTCTTAATGTGTTTTTCGTTTTTGCTATGAGCTGATATTAAGCCCAGGACACGCAATTTTGAGGCCATATCGAGATTTTCCATTCAACCAGGTCTTTCTGTTTTGATCAAAATGCGTTTGTTCGGAATCAGAAGGCGCATAAAGCACGTTAGCAACTCCATAGATGTGAATAAAGATACGAGTTCATATCTGTTGCGTGAAATAGTCAGGCTACCCTTTGGTGAAGACCAGAAGGAATGTACGATCTCGTTGATATTTTAGTCAAGTTGCATCAGCGAAATCTTGAAATCATTCAACCAGGTCTTTCTGTTTTGATCAAAATGCGTTTGTTCGGAATCAGAAGGCGCATAAAGCAAGTTAGCAACTCCATAGATGTGAATAAAGATACGAGTTCATACCTGTTGCGTGAAATAGTCAGGCTACCCTTTGACGAAGACCAGAAGGAATGTACGATCTCGTTGATATTTTATTCAAGTTGCATCAGCGAAATCTTGAAATCGTATACTTGTGTCACGTGAAAAAAGACAGACGCGTAACATCGGGCCAATATTAGAGCTCGCGCCTAAGATCTGGTGGTATATTTGTTTGTAGCTGTTCAAAATATACATATAAAAAAAAAAA